TAAATGGTTCCATCCAGAAGGAGTGATAGCCACAGCATCGGGTGCCGCTGCCAAAAACGCCCTAATGATCCTCTCTCAGGATACGGGCACACCGTTGGAGGAGGTGGACAGGGCGGTTCCAAACGGACATCGTTGGATGCAGGCGTACATGGTGAAGCCAAGGAGCGACATGCTGAGGCACATTAGGAGGGTTGAAGCAGCTGGTAAAAAGTAGAGATAAAAAGCATTCTTTATCACAGGAAGACTTGCATGGAAACTTTTGCAGCTGCTGAAGTTGTGAATCAAATGCCTTTTTTCTTTCGTAATTGATGAATTGATGATTTTAAAAGTAGAACTGGACAATTTTATTTGTGGACAACTCATTCCTATTTAATATTACAAAACATCACTCCTAAAAAGTAGGTTAAACTTTTTGCATGCATTGTAGGTTACCAGGCCATAGTGCTAACCATAGATGATGTAGCCTTCAGACGGATATCTTACTCTTCTTTACGAGGTGAATTCGAATTCCCCGCCTCGTTCGACTATGTCAACCTTCCCAGACCTGTGATTGGTGGCACCGTAGACGACGCTGATGATCAAATCAACACAGTCACATGGGACGATGTTGATTGGTTGAAAAACGTGACACGTCTTCCAATCATTCTCAAGGGAATTTTAACCCCAGAGGACGCCGAACTTGCGGTGCGCCATGGTGTTGATGGCGTGTATGTATCCAACCACGGTGGCCGGTAAGTAATACACAGACTGTATTAATTATATTTCTCTGATTAATAATTTAAAACGTGTTAAAGATAAATTGCAAGGGCCCCACCCAAACGGTTCATTTGATTTCACCAAAATTAATAATATTATTGCAGTACACTTGATGGTAGTGCAGCCACTATCAATGCGCTCTGGGATGTGGTGCGTGCCGTTAGGGGGCGATGTGAGGTTTACCTAGACGGAGGAATTCGGAACGGAAGGGACGTTTACACGGCGCTAGCTCTAGGTAGGTGACAGGAAAAACGGTATGGTCAATATAGCGATTATGAGAAGCTGGGCTTTATTTCACTATGTTATCGAAATAGACTCCCCTACAAAAAAGTGTCACCCTGAACGCAATGCTACATAGGCTACAGAAAATCATGTCACGAACTATTGTTCTTTATCCAACGTCTTTATGGATTTTTAATGCAAATTTTTTTTTTCTGATTGTACAACCATTTGAATAAAATGACCATAATAAAAAAATCCAAACCCACATTTTCGTATTTTGTGCAGTACCTTCTGGATTTAAGGGTGTACTTGGCGCGTCTGTGTGTGGAGTTTAAAAGTTCTGTAACGTTTGCGCAGTGATGGCGTTCCACATACAGTTCAAAGATAGTATGATATCGTTTTTATTTGCATTCTTATCTCTCCGTTATCGATTTCTGAGGATATCCTACACATTCTTAGTGATATTCTGATCTAGGGATTGAGCTGGCCTTTGGGGGGTCTGGATCTGGTTTGCATGGGCTGTACGTGGAGAAGCAGCTTCATGCTAAGACATAAATAGGTGACCAATGCGAGCTCATCTCCATCATAGTGGCCGATACACCACCTGCATGACTTATGTGGGATGCGTCCTGTCGACCAGAGACAGAAATTTGGGAATATACTTATTACCAGCTGTTCCAGAAAGCCTTACGCGTCCATAAATTCTGACAACGCCCAACCTGCTTTTATCTGCCCATGTGCCTTTTCGGTTATGATGTTGCCTTACCCTCTGAATGGATCTCATGGAAGAACCCAACCTTCTGACAATTCGGCGGATCAAAACTCCCTCCTATGTCAACCGCTTGGTAAAAAGGTATCCTTCTAACTGAGAAGCTGCATATTGAAAAAAAAATTGATGTTAGAGTATTTCAATGGTTACGCTAGGAATGTCATTGTTCTGTTACTCATATCCCCAGTTCGCATGCACGATTGCTTTATTCTTGTGTAATAGTAAAACTAAAACTACCATCACATTTACAATACCCTTTTAGCAATGTACACAATCGCGGTAGGGGTGACACTTTTTTTGCCAGGTGAGTATATATTCATAGATTGTCTTACAATGTAGCAACCCTAGGGCGCAGAATGGATGGAATGGATCAGATCTTTAGTCTAGTTAGGTGAAGAATGGAGTTATACAAAGTCCATAAGTTTCAGCTAATCCGAAAAAAAAAGAACTGCTCTAAAAATATGTTTGAGATGAACAAAAATTGAATTACGTGTACAAAACATAGAGTATATGTGTAGGATGTGTAACGATATGCATTTTTGTCTCTATTCAAGGAGCCAAAGCAGTTTTCATCGGTCGTCCTGCTATCTATGGTCTCGCCACTAATGGCTCCCAGGGTGTTCAAGACGTGCTTGACATTTTGACTAACGAACTAGAAAGTACCATGGCTCTCACAGGTAAAACTACTGCAGTACATTGTGCTCTCTTTTTTTTTTTTTTGTAACTGGATGCGTAAATCGTGTGCGTGTCATTACCTAAATGAATCCTTCTTAATTTTACTTACCGTTAAATATATGATTGATTCGAGAAAAAGGAACATAATTTGTTTCTTTTCAGTAATATTGTCTCTTGAATGTCATTCTAAATTTCAGGCGTGACCCGAGTATGTGATATCAGCCCTTCCTATGTGGTGAAACAAAGTTACTACGAGACTCTGAGCAAATCATCAATTCGCCAGTTTTCATCAAATCTCCTTTCAGCTAATTTCTTGGGATAAATATTCTCACTTAACACTCAAAGATACAGCGGAAACTTTCCAAACAATGAATGCTCTACGTGAAATACCTTCCTCTTTATCTTTATTCTTCTTTGATTAAAATGAGCCTTACAAGGTATAATACAGTCTTGTTATGGGTATATATATATATGTAGTTTTCGACTCATCATGAGCAAGCAGTGGGTTTTGCTGTACGTTTAAAAATAGTTCTGACACCTAGAGTTTTTGAGAATTGACCACTTTTAACCACGCTTCACATAAAAAGCCCATTCTTGGAAGGACTAGTTTTCTGGTACCTAGATTATCGTATCACAAAGAGTTTTAAATAGTAATGTCCAGACTCGCGCACATTTACCTCCCATTTTGCAGTGGCCAAGCCCAAAACACCTACAATGAGATGGGATACATTGCAGGGGCGGATCCAGAGACATTTTCTGACAGTCTTCCAAATTATCTTTGTTGATCCATCCTCCATTTTGACCGTCTTCCGACAGAAAACATTAGATACCCGTCAATGTAAACTTGAAAATCTGACCGTCTTCCGGAAGACCCAGAAGATGGCCTAAATCCGCCCCTGCATTGGTCTTATGATTATATGAAGAACCGAACCAAGGCAATCCGTTTCTTCAGAAAGAAATATGCGTGGATTGGATATTGTCATAGAATGAGTAAATTCCGTACAAAACTCGGACAACCAAGTCGTTTCAGCTGTGCACGTTTTATTCCTGTTCTATACTACTTTAAAAAAGGCGTTTCAACTGAGACGAGATCAATTCATTATATGACTGAAATCAGACTTTGAAATACAATATCTTCTTTATGTTGGCAACATGCAAATAAACAATTATTCAGATATAAATTGATAAACAATGTCACCATTAAATTAAGATATGCAGAATGTTTAACCGTTGTTCGTGTGAAACGTATCTCGGTAAACAATCACATCATAGATTCCCCTTCGTTTCAAATAAAATGATGGAGACAACTTATTCGCCATCCAAAAACGGAAAATAAAACACGCTATGAGGCATACTACTCTTGCAGTGCTTAAAATACCTAAAGATCGAAGTAATGGAAAACGAATTGTTAACGATTAATAACGAAATAGGCAATTCGTTATTAACACTACGGTTGTTACAGAATTAGCACACGCAAAGACTCGTGTATGTGTAGAATCAGTCTATCGGTCGAATTTTAATTGTTGGTGGCTATTTGAAAATCCTGGAGTTGAAAGGGGACATCGAGAGTGATATGGCTTTCTTACACCTGCAATGGGGACGATATTGTGGACAAAACAATGCCCTTGTTGTCCAGCAGGCAGTTGCATGTTATAAATGATTGAAGACTAATGAATAAATGTATATGGTTAGTCTAATGTTTGACTTGTAGTGTATTCCAAAAATAACTTAAGTAAACACTTGCAGCGTAAAGCAGCAGACTGAATCACTATCTTTACATCTTTACATCTTTTTAATCTATTCGTAGGTCGCTGACCGCTCACTGCTCAGGCTGTGTTATCGTCGAAAGCCCTTACATTCTACAACTGGCGTGAACGTGACAATTTATTCTATCTAAACATCAGCATTTACCTGCTTTATAAATTTAATTGAAAACGTAACGATAGATTTTAATTTACGCAAATACATTTGATTGCAGTATTTGCTGAATGGTCCCCCCCCCCCACACACACACACACATACACACCCAAAATTTATATCCTAACGAGTCTGAAATACCCCCTATCCTGTTCTAAATAACCCTATCACATAAACTATTACCATGAAATAAAAAGACTGAATAATTATATTAAAGTTTTTCAAACTCCACGCAAGCTTCAGCGCTTTGAACAATAATAATACATGTCATCCAAAGTTACCTGTAATTGGGAGAAATGCTTAGTGTAGGTAGAATGAAAATAGTTTATCATTTAAATTTACGACGTTTTCTCAAATTCAATGTCGTTTAAAAGTCGATTGCAACGAAATCATGTTTAAATTGACCAAAATAATGATTTCAAGAATGAGTGTTAAAACTTGTTATAAAATTGTGAATGTCCATTTTAACGTCTGATCGCATGTGCAGTGACAGTTCATGCATTCTACAGAATAGGGATTGCGATGGCTATAAGGACAAGGAGTCCATTAGACTATTTAGAGTAATTTAGAGTAAATGGCTTTTGGCGGTAAACAAAGGCATCTTTTCTGTCACAAGGTCGAGTAAGGGCTCCTACAAGGGTACTATATAAGATAAGATCAAGAGTTTTTTTTACTTTTGGACGTCTTCATATTTCTACAGACGGTCACCACGAGTCTCGTGAATGTATTCCGCCATGGGTACCTTCGTGGTATTAATTGCACTGATGACGTCGACTGTTACTGTCTGCAGTGTAAGTACATGTTATTTACAAGGATATGGATAGAAAGGCTATGTAATTTCAAATAGAAATAGAAAATATGGTGCGTCAGAGAGAAATATAGCTAGTGGTATCTCTCCCCTTAGGTAAGCCGCCGCTTCGTTAACGTGCAAGACTTCAAAGAATGCGCAAAAGATAACCTTCATCCACACGCGTACAAGTACATTGAAAGCGTTTTCACCCGTGGCCAGACTCACGACGAGAATATTGATGCTTTCAAGACATTTCGTCTACGGCCAAGGCATTTGCGAGATGTGAGTCATATTGATACAAGTACAACTGTTCAAGGACAAGCAGTAGATATCCCAATAGGTGGGTTTTATATTGGCTGTAAGTTTGCGTCACTACACAGTGTTCTTGAATTTATGCTGAATTTTGGTAAGCAAGTTTGGCTCTGCGCCTGTACTGCACAATTGGTTAACTTTTGGCTTGCAGAACTTTTGGCTTGCACAACTTCTGGCTTACATGTCTTTTGGCTTGCCTCTTTGAAACACTACAAATTGAATTGTGTTCACTATTTGTTTGAACATTACATTAACTGTAGATTAAGTATTACGTTAATATTATTACTCAACATTATTCAATGTTTATCACTAAAACAATTTCAATTCTTTTATCGGAGGGACCTTCGATAAATGCGGTCACCATCGGCCAAATTTCGAACAATATACTTGAGTTTGTCCTTTTTTTGCCAAAGTATGCCGTAGTATCTAAGTCGGTTTAGATCAAGGAGACAGAAAGAGAAAGTATACAGTCTTTGGTGTCAAAGCTTACTTCACTGTGTTCCTTGTACGCCGAATTGAACATATACCTCATGAAGATACATATAGCATTGGGATATGAACTAGTAAGATGTCGTTTTCTTTCCAGGCATTTCTCCGTCTGCTTTTCATAAATGGTTCCACCCAGAAGGAGTGATAGGCACTGCGTCGGGTGCCGCTGCTAAAAACGCCCTCATGATCCTCTCGGAGGTAACGGGCACACCGTTGGAGGAGGTAGACAGGGCGGTTCCACACGGACATCGTTGGATGCAGGCGTACATGGTGAAGCCAAGGAGCGACATGCTGAGGCACATTAGGAGGGTTGAAGCAGCTGGTAAGAATTGGGTTTGGACAAAAAAGAAAAACATTATCACAAGAGAGTCTTTTGCTTTTGGTAATCTGAGTTTTTTCTGTCTAAAGTGGTGAGTTTATATGAGAGAAGATTACGCAAGGCTGGGTAGCTGATATTGTTCTTTGTGGAAAACAACCGTATAAGGTACAGGCCCGTAGCCAGCAATTTCTAAAGGGGGTTCTTTATCAAAAAAAGTGTACCTTTTACCATGAAACCTTCGTGTACCTAGATAAAATTTTACCCAGAAGGAGCCTTTCTTCCCCGCCCCTTCGCCCCCGGCAATGGGCCTGAGGTACTTGTCGCTGTTCAGGTCAATCTGTTTGTACGTTTCGGCATTCTTCATTGCAGGTTACAAGGCCATAGTGCTAACCATAGATGAGGTTGCCTTAAGACGAATAACTTACTCTAATTTTGAATATCCCGCTTCTTTCGACTATGTAAACGTTCCCAGGCCAGTGATTGGTGGTAGCGTAGGCGACGTGGAGAATCAAATTGACACAGTCACTTGGGACGATGTGGATTGGTTGAAAAACGTGACACGTCTTCCAATCATTCTCAAGGGAATTTTAACCCCAGAGGACGCCGAACTTGCGGTGCGCCATGGTGTGGATGGCGTGTATGTATCCAACCACGGTGGCCGGTAAGTAATACGCAGATTGTGTTAATTACATTTCTCTAATTAATAATTTAAAACGTGTTAAAGGTAAATTGCAAGGGCCCCACCAAACGTTTCATCTAAATTTATCACCCTTACGAAAAAAGTCCTATAGGATCCTCAAGGAAATTGAACCAATTTTCTATAGAATCCAATAGGATCTTTTGGGATCCTATAGGACTTTTTCGTTAGGGCAAAATTAACATTATTATTGCAGTACACTTGATGGTACTACAGCCACTATTAACGCGCTCTGGGATGTGGTGCGTGCCGTTAGGGGGCGATGTGAGATTTACCTAGACGGAGGAATTCGGAACGGGAGGGACGTTTACACGGCGTTAGCTCTAGGTAGGTGCTAGAACAAACGGTTTAAAACTGAGACTAATCAGCCTTCGAAAAATGTGATTGCAATGTGTGCAAAATGTCTTGAGAAATCTAAGGCGCAGGACAGATGTAGGCCTACCTCGCGACTACAGTAGGAGCTGCATATTACATGGGCATTTTGGGATCGAATAATTTTACGAGCCATGCCAAGAACAGAGTTCGACAAATCCATAAGTTTGTGTTATGTTATGTGTAGTAGGCCTATGTTTATAGGCGATATCTATTTTTTTTTCTTCTGTCTAAGGGGCTCAAGCCGTCTTCATCGGTCGTCCTGCTATCTATGGTCTCGCCACTAACGGCTCCCAAGGTGTTCAAGACGTACTTGACATACTGACTAACGAACTAGAAAGTACCATGGCACTCACAGGTAAAACTACTGCAGTACTTTGTGTTCTTTTTTCATCGCTAAATGTAACTGAATGCGTAAATCGTGTGCTTGTCATTACCTAAGTGAATCCTTATTTTTGCTTACCGTCAAATATATGATTCATTAGAGAAAAAGGCACATGACTGGTTTCTTTCCAGTAACATTGTCTCTTAAATGTCATTCTAAATTTCAGGCGTGACCCGAGTGTGTGACATTAGCCCTTCCTATGTGGTGAAACAAAGTTACTACGAGAACCAGTTTCCATCAAATCGTTTTTCAGCTAAATTCTTCGGATAGATATTCCTACGGTAACTCTAAAAGAAACTGCTAAAAAAACCTTCCAACCGAAAGGACCCAGTTTGCCAAACAGTGGATGCTTTTAATATACATTATTACGTAAAACACCTTCCTTTGATCAACCGTCGGACTGAATAAACGTAAATAAATGTTATGTTTCACGGCTATCAGGTCATCACAGTTTTCAAGGTCATCATGTTTTCAAATTTATATCAGTTTAAAAGTTTAAAGTTTATGGATTTTGCTCAAATACACAATCTAGCTATAAACTCCAAAATCTTACCTGTTCTTAATCCACGGTTACGGTACGATCACGACAACAAGATCTCTTAAAAAATAAAAAAGGTGTTTCTATCACTCGGTAACTGAAGGAAGATATAATCATTTCTGCCGAGATAACTGTGCGCACACAGCATTTAGTCAAGTGTTGTTGCTGCTGTTTCACGTGGTAATGAGAATACCCAAAACTTGCCGCTTAAACGGCTACTCAAAGAAACATGTATATTGCAAAATATAGATAGACTGTTTCTTTAATATGGTAAGTGCATATTTATGATAACTCAAAAAAAATTTGATTTCAAAATGTTGCTTTGAGGTGTGGTATTTCAAACATGTGCTGCATAATATGTGTAATCTTTTCAATATGTCACAAAATATTTAATGTCAAAATGCTGCTTAAAGATTTTAAAGGCAAGACGAATTAGATCAAGAGAAGTGGTTTTCAAATTTGCACACGCATCTACAAATGTGTCAAATATGAAAGTGATCAGACACTAAAAAGTGACAATTATTGTACTTTATAACAAATTTTATTTTCAACCATGAATTGCAAAAACGAAAAAAAAGACGTTCTGCAAACAGCTTCAACAGTTTCTTAATGGCATGGAAGTGGCATCTGAAAAAATAAGCATGAAAATTAATAGAAATTATGCGGGGAATGCCATCAAATTCAGTCCTGACTGTAAAAAATCAGAAACGGTCTTGGAAATGCATTTGCCAAATTAATCTGAAATAATAGCAAAGTTGACCCTTAACATCAGAAGGACTACCAAAAGTGTCAAAAACGCAACAGAAATCTGTTTTCAGTGCAGCGTATCGTGACAGATATTACTCCCTGTTATTGGGCTAAGACCCCATTCCTATAGTCGCCTTCGGTTTACGTGGGTCGACCCAACTCTGCGGGGATTCTCGCTAAATGCAATCAGCTTAACTGAATGACTCGCCTCCTCTTGCTTCCAATGTACTCGTATAATCACCAGCTTTTCTGTAATCTACTTAACGCCAAGAGGAGGTTGTTAAGCTGATTGCACTCAGCGAGAATCTCAGCAGAGTTGGGTCGCTCCACTAGACCGAAGGTGTCTATGAGAATGGGGCCCAATATTCGTAAGTTTACAATTGAAGTACACGTTTGCCTCATTTTCCTCACCTTAATGGTATTACAGCACACACATTGAACCAGTGGGGGTGTCTATGCATCTTTGTGGATGTGGACAAAAGCGGAGCTAAAACGATAAAAAACATGTGAATACATGCTGACAAAAAACACACATTGCCCTTAGCTTAGAATCATTCCTTTCAAACCAGTGATGGATGTGAGTGACAGAATCGTTGCCATGACAGCTAAAATACAGTACGCTCTTTTTTATTAAATCTTATGGTGAAAAAAAAACACATAGCTGTAAAACAAACAATGCTCTCTAATATAATTTTCTTTGTACTATTGCACATATTTTAAAAGGGGGTAGCTAATTGATGTTAAGCTATCTTTGATGAGACGTATTTTTCCATTCCGATTTTTATTGCAGGAGTGAAAAGTGAAAAGCTTTCATCGCACGCGTGGCATCCATCTGTAGCCTGAAGAAACTGATCTGAGGGTTTTGAAATCATCTGAATTCAGATTTGTCCCTGACTGCCATGAAGTGTACCAAATATCTGATAATCCAGCAAACCCAGAACGTTATTGTAACGTTACTATAACGTATATGTAACCAAGAAACGTTATGGTAACGTTATGGTAACGTGATAAAATGTGATGTGTTTGCTGGAAATATCCCTTAGTATTCCATCAACTCTATCATGAAATAAAAAGTGTTTTATCTTGTATATACTTATGGCTCGCTCTCAATGAAACTGATCTCCCGCAGAGTTGCATCGACCTACACAGAGCGATAGTTTCATTGGGAACGCGCACAAAACAAAACAAAACAAAACGTCAGAAATCCAACGTTTTCCTTGAGTGAGGTACTTTCCAGTGCAAAACACAATGGCAGATTGAGGGGTTTGCAAGAAGGGTAACAGTTGAACAAGCAAAAATCATGGGTAAAACATTATTTGACTTTGTTTCCTTTTGCTCGCAATTGTGATTCTATTTATTATTGTTTTCCTTTTTTTTGGGGGGGGAGAGGATAACAAAGGGGGAAGGAAGGAAGGAAGGAAGGAAGGAAGGAAGGAAGGAAGTCGAGGCCACGTGCCTGAAGTGTCTCCCTAGAACCGTCATTATTAAAGGAAACATTCCAGGAATCTATTAATACGGATGATGCCCATACCTACCTGACATGTCGGCACACATCTGGCTCCGGTTGGGTCCTCTACGCACACGTTGCCGACTGCACAAAGCGTGGCCTGAAAGATGTAAAGGAATTATAAAATTAGGGTTGCCTTTGTCATGAGAGACATCTATTGATAATTTTTTAAATTTCATTCTATTTATCTTTTTGTACACGAAGTTAATGCACGGAGTATCACCATGGCGGTAATTAAATACGGCAGCGGATGGTAGTCAGACAAAACTGAATAAAAAAGCAACCTAAACGTACCATGTTTTAATAAACCGTTGTGGTCGAATAAAAAAGTGAAGCTGACAAAGGAAAAGTTTCGAAATCGTGATCTGCATCCGTTGAAAGGGAATGTTTCACACTAATCAATCACTCCCTATGCCAACATATTTGATGTAGGCCTACGTGTGTCATCAACACACAAATACAAATTATATTATAGTTTATACACCACCAGGTGGCATTAAAATTCAATTTCCAAGACAAACCTACTTACTGCACAAGTTGCGGGAGGGGGCATAACACAGTCAAATTGAAGTCTACACGGCGTGTCACAAGTGTCCTCAGATGTACACAAGCCGTTGCAATTCTACAGTAAAAATGTCATAAATTTAATGACCAGCGAGGTATAAATCACAAAATAAATAAGTTTTTTTAATACATATAGGTGGACCTGCATCTTATTAACATGTGGACGACATACATGTACATGTACACACAGCTGCACATTGTTCATCATACAAAAATACTATATTTGAAAATGAAGTCAAAAACCTTTAATGGCTGTAAAATAAAAGGACTGGAATGTATAACTGTGTTTACATATGCCTTGATATCCATTACTCCTTCACCACAAGAACGCACCTGCTCATGCCCCCACCCCCACCCCCAATACCCGGTATTCCCGGCCGAGAAAACATCGCCCGACTGGATATACTTCCTTATTCACTTGAATTTGCCCCGTCAGCTCTTTATTTTACATTCCTTAAGCCCAAAGGGACGTCATTACAGGAATTTTTACCTTTAAAGGGGGGGGGGGGGGATTACGAAGGAGATTACGGAGATTTCAAAAGAATCCTGTCCAGCGAGAATTTTTGTATGCAATTAATGCCATCTGTTAGTTGACCTCTAATATAGAGTAGACAAGTTTAATACAAGTATAAATACTGTACTTACTTGACATGGGTCATCCACGCAGACGCGTAGAGAATTACATGGTGGAGCGTAGCACGGGACTCGCTGTGTAACGCATTTCTGCCCAGACGGACATCCGCCATTAGACTGAACATGGAACATAGATGATTTATTTCTAATGCCAATGACCTATTTATAATCAGTTTAGTAGTAGTTAAGAATAAACAGTAAATAAATAGTAGTTTAAGAGTGCAGTAATGCATTTTAAAATTTACATAAAAAGCGATCATAGATTCCCTGTACTGCATATAAACCACTTTTACTAGTTTCTTATACGACTGAAATGAATTCGACATGCCCAAGAATAAACAAAATGTCCTACATGTTCAGCCAAAATTGACTTTAAAAATAACTGCACCTTCTTCGCATTTCTGGCAGTAAACATGAGCTATTAAGCCGTCTATACAGTTAGTACGGGTCCGCCAAATAATGGTAGTAATGTAGGAAACAACACTGCACGCGCTATGTATAGCTTCAATACTTAAAAGAGTGCTGATTTACTTTCGTGTGCGTTCGCTCGTACTCAAAACAAAGTAAAAAAAAGCTTCCAAAAGCCGAACACACGCGAAAGTTAATCACCCATGCAGCTACATGTAGAGGAGAGATGTCATTCAGGTCATCTGATTGGATTCAGCGAGAGCGCCCGCGGAGATGGGTAGATAAACGTAGAACGATAGTTTTATTGGAACGCGCCCAAAGATTTGACTTTCTATGAGGCAGTTAAATAGTAATAGGGGGGCTCTTCCTGTGCAGAATATAGAATATATGTAAACAAGTTTAATACAAGTATAAATACTGTACTTACTCGACATGGGTCAACCACGCATTTATTAATGTCTCTAATTCTTCAATCTCTTATCAATTTACAACATATAAACCAACTGCAACTACTCAGTTGGTTCTCTTACAACTGCTGCATTAAGATATTTTTATATATGATAGCATAAAATGCTAAGTAATAACCCGTCACCGTGTTAATATTTCTCCAGAACCAAAGCAACTAAATTAAGCGTATGAAGCATTAAGAAAAGAGGATGCAAACATGTTAAATTTAAATCAGACATAGAATGATAAATTCAACACTTACGCAGTATCTAGTTTGTGCCTGAAAAATAACAAAGGATAAAGAATTATCTAACAATTTGCAAGGCCAGTCCTATACTGGGTGCCTTCATTTATGTTCTACGCCGTTCTGGTAATAATGTATTGCGATTATTGTTAGGAGTTACTACATTTTGATAACAATAGATCGGCGCATTAACCTTTGGTAATGTGAGCAAGTGTGCACGTGAGCGTGCGTGCGCAAGAAAGAGAGAGAAAATGGGGAATAATGTAATCAATTTTATTCTATAATAATAATAATAATAATAATAATAATAATAATAATAATAATAATAATAATAAATATACATAAAATTCGAGTCTAGGCCCTTAACATGAAATAAAGGAGAAGATTGACGAAACAAAAATCTCCTACGGAAAGTTTCGAGACTAGTTCTTTGTCTGCCTTAAATCCCGTCTCGTACAGAAAACCTTAACTGTTCCGTGTATTCATGTTCGGTCATGTCTTGACTCAGCATGGAATGGAGCACGGCGGGTTTTTTTGCTTTTTGTCCGTAACGTAGCTTAAAAACATTTCACCTTACCTCTCCAAAAGGCAGAATTAGGAGCAACAGCGCACAACCAAGTCCTGCTGTGTACATCATCATTATGGAGTCCCGTTTTCTTCACTTGTACTGCTTGTATCCTTAAACTGACTGGTTCAATGTGCTGCGTTAGTTGCTATATATATATATATATATATATATATATATATATATATACTGAAGAGAAGTCTGGGTTACATTACATGGTGTCACTTCTGGTGTGTTTGTCATTTGTTACCTAATACAAAATGCTGCATACGCAAGCTGTGCTTGATATATTACTTTTTGAAAAATGTTGCATTTATTAAGTTACGAAGACAACTCCCTTTTTTGTGATCTGCATACGGGACATAATGAAGTCAGATTTTTGTCTTTCAGTTGATGAACAACAATGTACCCCCTGGCAATCCTCTTTATTACATGCCGTTTATTGCTTTGAATCACGCAAAACCATTTCATCTTCGCTGAACCGCAGATTGGTTGGGCCAGGATAGAAGTGGGCCTAACCCCTTTTCCAATCATCTATATTTATAATTATAATAATATTCATATGTGATTATTGTGTATTTCAGTGCATGTTATATTGTACTAGGATAATTAAAAAAACATTGGTGTAAGAAGCAAGGGCAGTGAACGAATTCTTCAATGCCTTTGAGGATATTTATGCGGTAGTTCATTTGAAACACCCTTTTTTTTGCGATGAGGCAAATGTATCTTGTAGCGCGAGCCATTGGGGCGGCAGAAGAAATAAAGCACGACAGGATATTGCACTTTAGTTCCACTTGTTTAGTTAATGCTACTGCTTATTTCCTTAAAACCAATTCTAACATACTAGAACAGTGTAGATTGTATCGAATCACGGAATGTTTTTTTTTTTCGGAGAAATATTATTACTAGCTGAGCCAATCCATGACAACAGTTCGTTGAAGACAGATATCCAGTCAACTTATTTCCTGTTAGGTTCAACCAGTGACTGGAACAGTCGTCTTTTATTTATTGTAATGGTGTCTTTTCGTGACCAAAATGTATTTTCGGTGAAGTTTCTTTTCTTCAACAGATCTCACCAAAATATATGGCCTACCACTGGCAAGAGCAGAGAAGGAGAGAGATTCATGGGAGCAATTCCGTGAGAGGTTCCTACAAATGAAGGGATACGAGTCATGGATGAAGATTTTAAATCTTTGTCTTAAAAATACAAAGAAGCGTGATTGTGTTAGTCTTGTAACAGTTTGATTCGAAATTCTCTCGTACGATTGGGATTTTAACTATTTTATGTGGAATCCCTAGTTATAAAGAGATTAATGATGTAAAAATGCATAAAAGTTAACGCAGTCCAACGTATTAGTCCAAGCTGTTCTATAAAAAGATTAATGATTTACAAATGCTAAAATTTAAGTGTTATTTGATGTTGAGCAGACCAATTCATTGGAAGTCTCTTTCTTTCTTCTATTTTCTACGTTTCAATAACTTTTCCCCATCATTTTGTTTTACTAAATAATCAGCAGACATCCATTTTATTCTCTCTTTGTTTGAAATTACTGTAGTTTGCACAACCCACGATTACGTTTGAGACGGTGACTTATGAACAAAGCGTAGTTTTGTGATAAGTGATCAATTTATTAGACATCAGTGATATATAATATGGAAAGTGTGTTTCCGGTACGTATTCAGGACTTTAACTTTTTGTTTTAAAATAAATTTAAAAGTAGGCCCTAGCTATTTCTCAGCGTGAAAAACATATCGGTGATGGAAATCAAAATTAGAATCAAATTACACATGTAGCACAATTTACTAAGTACGCACACAAGGTAGTAACAACACAGATATTAATTACACGTAATATCTTAGGAGACAAATGTCACCAAATGTTTCCTTAAATATTGAGGTCAATGAAGAGCAAGTAGATCTTCATGTAGCCTACATAAATCGATGTGGTTACATGCATGCTAAACTTTTTCAATACGGCTACAGCAGAAAACACGTTTTAGTAAATTGATATACGGCAGTTATATCCAAACTGTGGATTTTTTCAGCTGACTTCTGGTTTTCTAATAGAAATAATCCTCTATACATTATTTTGTTGCCCATATTCCTTAAAGATGCCCTTGGAGTCTTATCTGTCTTGCAGTTAAGTGCCATCTATCGGTACCTAGGGCAACACGCCGCATAGCGGTCAGTTGGGTGAACGTCACAGTAAAAACCTGGTGGGCACGTATCTCTTGGCAAACACAATCCACAGCACAGTTCACGACCATTGATAGCTAATGGCTTGTCGTAACCGCCTAAGGGACGCCTGCAGGGTCTTTCATCTAAATTGAAATAAAAAAAGTATACCCCACCATTTATTGGATCTCACACAAGACTGCATGGGTATAACTATTACGCAAAGGCAGAAGTTGAAGGAATTTAGGGGGAGGGGGCTTAGGATAGTTTCGAAGGCATCCCTTATTCCATCCCACTTCCAAAAAGGTATAGCGAAATGGGGATAAAGCCAAGAAAAAACCTCCTTTCCTTTCTCCGTGTCTTTTAGGCCCTATTTGGAAAATTATCCTCGACTACTGGTGGACCCCACTGTTTCATATTTCTTCAGCAAACCGGGACGAAGATTTCGCTTCTAAAAAAAAAAAAAAGAAAAAAAACTGGTCCCCCCATTGATGGGGTGTAACTAAATGCAACAAAACGCTGACAGCAGGCTATATAGGGCCTAATAGGAAGTTATTAACATTGACTCGATCGATCCTCAGTTGCAAAGGGTATTCCAACCTTATGTATATGAGTGACTAGTACCTGTTACACATCTGGGTTCTTCAAATGACATCACACATACTTGTCCGGGTCTGCATGGGGGGCTCTGAAATAGCACCAAATATGGCTCCTCAAATTTGGAACATTTGGCCATTTTGATGGGAATTAACTTCTTATACAGCATTTTTCTAATTGATATTACCTAAATTCCTACCATGTAATTCTTACCGGTGAAGTGTTCATTCAAATGCCAAAATATAGCATCAATTAAAGGTACATACGAACCGAGCATCGGTGGAGCGTGGATTTCCAGTAACACATGTAAACCACTTCTACTAGATTCTTATATGACTCGAATAAATTCGACATGCCAAGGGATAAACGTAATAGATCACTCGATCAGCCATAAAATACCNGGGCAACACGCCGCATAGCGGTCAGTTGGGTGAACGTCACAGTAAAAACCTGGTGGGCACGTATCTCTTGGCAAACACAATCCACAGCACAGTTCACGACCATTGATAGCTAATGGCTTGTCGTAACCGCCAAAGGGACGCCTGCAGGGTCTTTCATCTAAATTGAAAAAAAAAAAGTATACCTCACCATTTATTGGATCTCACACAAGACTGCATGGGTATAACTATTACGCAAAGGCAGAAGTTGAAGGAATTTAGGGGGAGGGGGCTTAGGATAGTTTCGAAGGCATCCCTTATTCCATCCCACTTCCAAAAAGGTATAGCGAAATGGGGATAAAGCCAAGAAAAAACCTCCTTTCCTTTCTCCGTGTCTTTTAGGCCCTATTTGGAAAATTATCCTCGACTACTGGTGGACCCCACTGTTTCATATTTCTTCAGCAAACCGGGACGAAGATTTCGCTTCTAAAAAAAAAAAAAAGAAAAAAAACTGGTCCCCCCATTGATGGGGTGTAACTAAATGCAACAAAACGCTGACAGCAGGCTATATAGGGCCTAATAGGAAGTTATTAACATTGACTCGATCGATCCTCAGTTGCAAAGGGTATTCCAACCTTATGTATATGAGTGACTAGTACCTGTTACACATCTGGGTCCTTCAAATGACATCACACATACTTGTCCGGGTCTGCATGGGGGGCTCTGAAATAGCACCAAATATGGCTCCTCAAATTTGGAACATTTGGCCATTTTGATGGGAATTAACTTCTTATACAGCATTTTTCTAATTGATATTACCTAAATTCCTACCATGTAATTCTTACCGGTGAAGTGTTCATTCAAATGCCAAAATATAGCATCAATTAAAGGTACATACGAACCGAGCATCGGTGGAGCGTGGATTTCCAGTAACACATGTAAACCACTTCTACTAGATTCTTATATGACTCGAATAAATTCGACATGCCAAGGGATAAACGTAATAGATCACTCGATCAGCCATAAAATACCTTTAGACTGCTCCTTTCTTTAAATTTTTGGTTGTAAATTTAACCTACTTTCGTGACCTACTTTCCTGCCCCATTGACATACAGCTTAGAATGCCAGCAGAAAAATCCGTTCAAACATCATTTTCGGGTAAAATTAAACAATGCCTTTTGGTAATTCTCTTAGTTACACTACTTGAAACTATATGCTGGCATTTGGTTGGTTTTTGTGACAAAAAACTGACTTTGTATGCATCTTTAAAACAATGGTTTAAAATTAAAAGCCTGTTTAGTACTGACGCGGGACTTTGATACTTACACAATGCCTAGATACCTGTGCCTGAAACGGAATAGAAAGTCGTAAGTAAAGGCAGCAAGTGAAGTTAAAATAGTTCAACTGAATGACCCGAAACACAAAATTAACCATTTTTTTCCTGAATGTAGCGAAAAATGAAGAAATAATTCGACTCGCAGTTAGTATAGTAGTTATTCAGAGACGGTTGTAGCTATCCCAAAAAGAACATAATACGTTACCTTCCCTAAAGACAGAACTGCCAGCAAAAGCGCACAGCTGAGTCCAAGTTTAACCATTATTGTTGAAAAACGTTTCTTAACCCTCGATTTCCAGCTCTAGCAAGTCGAGTAGACTCAGTTTACTACTATATATATTGTGCAAAGGACTGGACGTGCTTGGCACAGTGTCACTTAACTGCGGCATGACTGAATACTTGTATCTTTTTGTTTCCTGGACCTTAAATATGGCCTATTTATCTTTGTCTTTGTAATGCGTTGATCACTTTAAGGAATTTAACGCACTACAAGCAATACCAGTACGTTTGTTTAACATGTTGTTACAATATCAAACGCTCTTTATTTTGAATATTGATGGGTTTGGGCAAGTTAATGCTCTCTGAGTTGCATTTCATTATAGAACAAGTGTCAGTATTGGCAAATTTTAGGTTATCAAATAACAGAAAACACTTTCACATGT